ACCGCAGGCAGTGAGCCATTTTTGGAAGATGACTCCCAGGATACCTTAATCTTAGCAGGCTTTTTGGTTAACCTGGAAGCATCTATGGCAACAACAAGCAAGCAAATCACCTGAATTTAAGGCCCGAGTTCCAGGTTCTCCTTAACACCATAAGCCTGACATGCTTGTCGTCATCATTTTTATGATGAGCAGTTTCTCAGATAGCTCTATGCTATCTTGGTTTCTGGGCTAAGACCGTAAATTGAAGGACCCAAGGCTTTCCAGTTTACAGAGCAGTCCCTCAGATTGTGTCCCTTTGAGTCTCACTAGAGACTAGTGAGATATTCAAAGCAAACAAACAGCCGGAATTTACAGATGAGGAAACACAGGCCAAGATGAGGTAAGTGGCTTCCCCAAGATCAGAGCCATGGCTTAAGAGTAGTGTTCTTCCTCTTGGAGGGTCATTGTGGACAGGAAATGAGCACAGTCACCCAGCTTTTGATGTTCTGGGTTCACAGAGGTGGGAAAGGTCAGACCCTGCCCTTAAGGGGCTGACAGTCTAGCTCACGGGGTCTCCCTTTACCACATTCTATTGGAGCAGCAGCACTAGTTCCCAGAAAGAAAATAAGAAGGGTGAATGCAGATTTTCCATGATGCTCTCACCCCATGTTTTGGAGGGGAATATTGGCTGCTGGAAGAAGAGATGGCAGAGATGGCTTATACGAAGAGAAGCTTGAATGCCATAGAGAATTCTGTGGCCAAGAGAGTGAGACGCTATTAGATGTGGAAACGTAAACCAGAGAGTCTTCATGACCAGCCAGCTTGTTGGTGGCAGAGGTGGGACTAACTGTAGCCCCTATCTCTCTTCTCTCGTCTCACCTCTAAGTTTAGAAGTTATATGCCTTGTAAGGATGGGTGAGTACAGGCTTTGAAAATGAAGCTTAGTTTCAGGTTCCTCTTTAATCATAATATTTTTCCAACCTTTTTATTGTGGTAAAATACACATAAAATTAAATTGACCATCTTAACCATTTTTAATTGTACAGTTCAGTGATATTAAATATATTCATAATGTTGTGTGACCATTCACGACCATCCATCTCTTAACTCTTTTTACCTTACAAAACTGAAACTCTATACCCTTAAACAATATAACTTCCCAATCCTCTCTCCTGACAACCACCATTCTACTTTTTGTCTCTACTTAGTCATCATTTTTTTAATTAGGGGAAGTGGTTACTGACATACCAAAGAAATAATGAAATGAAATGTATTTTTTTAGGTTTTTGCCTATGTGTTTCTCTAGGGATAATGAATACCTAGTCTTGATTTGTTCTAAAGTGTTTTTGTTTTGACTTGGTCTAAAACCACAATTCAAAGACAGTCCCTTCCTCTTCTCTCTCCCTTTTCCCCTCCCTCCTTCCCTTTCGCATTCAAAGCAGATCCTTTCTTAAAATGATGAGATGTATAGTGTGATTCTTTCTCCACAGTAGCTGGGCTATCCTGTTCTGGGCGATACCCCGCCCAGGCGTTGCAGGGATTGACTTTTCTCTGTATTATTTCTGAAGCACTGACCCTTGGCCCAGCCTTGCATGTAAACACTCCATTGGCTGCCCTCTATCATCTTTTTTCTTTGCAAAGCCACCATTTCCATCACCCCATCTGTTCTGCACTTGATCAGTTCTTAGGCTTCAGGGTGGAATTGGTCCCTTGGCTCAGGTAGCTGCTTGAGCAGTAGAGGAGGAGCCAGCTGCTTCTTTAAAACAAAACAAAATAGGAGCTCATATGTGTGCATTTTCTCCCCAGTTTCATACTGGCTCCTCCCCATAGTATTCATGACTTTGACTTTGGCAAACATTTCCTGCCTGCCTGTCAGGTGCCAGGCCCTGTGCTGGCTTTTGAAGATTCCAAGTTGAGTAATTGACAGTCCCCGCCTTCAAGGAACTTTGAGTCTAGTAAGGTGAGGCAGATAAACAAATAGATGTACTAGCCTGTTAGAGGTGCAGTCAGAGCAGGGTACTCAATGCACTTTGGAAGTAAATAAGGGGGTTTGTTCTATTGAAGGTGGGCATGGTGTAAGGTGCCAGAAAATAATTCCTCCAGGAGATGACCCTGAGCCCTGAAAGTGATTGTATTCCTAGCAGAGGGAGCAGTCAGGTTCATTTGAATGTCAATTCGTTGAGGGAGGAGACAGGTGGTCTACAGGAAGGCCTTGATACTTTATTTTATATTTTATGTGTTTGAATAGGTAATACACAAGTTACCACACTCAAGGACATTAAAAGGGAATACATGCAATGAAAAATGAATTTCTTTTCCTGTTAACCATTCATTTCCCTTTCCTGAAGGCAATTGTTAGCTACCAGTTTCTTGTGCATTGTTTCAGTGCATACATGTATCATTAAAGATACACATATACACACAAATGGTTTGCTTCACATACTAATTTTGGAAGTCATTCCATATTAGTAAAGACTGAGCTGCCCACTTCTTTTAAACCACTGCATAATATTCCATTATATGGGTGTGTGGCAACTTATTTAACTAGTCCCCCTTCACTCTTTTGCCAGTACAAATAATGCAGTAAATACCCTGCATATATGTCATTGTACATGTGATTTCTGAGGACAGATTCAAGAAGTAGAATTGGTAGGTCAGAGAATATGTGCATTTTTTGACAGATACTGTCAGATTGCCCTCCAAAGCTCTTATTAATTATAAAATATTAGGTCATCGGGAAAGTCATGATGCATTTTTGCATTGAAAAACATAGAAAAATACGTCATGACTTTCTCGACAACCCAATACTAAATTTAAGATTCTTTACCACTTGGCTTCTCCCCCTTCCCCAACCCTCTGAAATTTCTGCCAGAGTGAGCTTACTTAATGAATTTGGTGATGTAACTTCCCTGTTTCTAATCCATTGCTCTGATCACTTGTATTTGGTATCTTCTTTTCCTTCTTTTTCACTAGATACATCCTTTAGCAGTCAGCTTAGCATCACCTCCTCTGAGTAGTCTTTCCTGATGACCTCCACTCATGTACAGAACACCTAAGCACCACTCTGACCCAGCCTTATCCATTCACTACAGAAGTATTTGTTGTGTATATGCTGTGATATGGCCCAAGCAGGTGTCATTTTGATGATGCATTGGTTGTTGCCTTGAGAGACCAGTGACACTACATGGTATGGTTACTTGCTGTGGCTGCATGTAAAATAACAGCACCATAGGGCCCATTGCTAACTGACTCTGAGAATATTTTTTCATCTCTTCAGACCTTGGTTTTGGCGTCTGTCAGATGAGGAGGTGAAGTCTGATGACTTCCAAGGTCTCCACAGCTCAGATCTTATTAATAAGTACAACAGCAACAGCAGCCAGTGTTTACTGAAGACTTGGAAAGCTCCAGGCGCTGTGTCAAGTGCTTTGTTTGATCCCAATCCTTACATCGCTCTATTAGTCCATGAAGATGACAGTATGGTTAACTGCCCCCCATTTTACAGATGAGGAAACTGAGGCTGAGAGAGTAATTAGGCCATAATAGAAGAAACATTTAAATTCTGGCATTCTGACTCTACTGTTCTTAGCCACATAAATGTGTACACGTTCCACACATTTACATACACAGTTTTGTGTCACTCACAGATTTTACCCCTCAATCTCTCCATGAACCATCCCTGTTCTATAGCTGTAAAGGCTTAAGTTGGAGTCTGGGTAGGAGCTGGGGACAGAAGACTGCCACAGTCACAACTATTTGGGGATAGTGGGTAAGGACCCAGTGGCTACCTCTGTTCTTGAACCCCTGGCTCATGCTCATTGAAGACCCTCATAGTTGCTTTTCCTTTGGACTGAGACAACTCGTATTGCTCTTTGCAGTCACTCTCTTTAGAAGGGGAGCATAGATCGAGTCAAGGCTTTAGACATGGATTAAAGTCAGGTTTTGATAATATCTCTGACAGAGTCTTAGAGGCATCCTTTATTAGGGTTGTAGATGGCAGGCTCCCCTGTCTGTTTACATAAGGCCTTATTAATGGAGAAAGAGTTGTATATGGAATTAAAATAAAAAGAAATATAATCATATTATTTGGAATATCTATTATAAAATAGGATAAATGAAGTCAAATGAGTTAAGTAAAATATAAGAGGCCCAAATCATAATATATCATCAACCCAAATACTTCCCTGAAGGCATATAGAACAAAAATCCTTAAAAGTCTTGATTCCTGATTTTTTTTTTTTAAGATACTGGCTCTTACTCTTCTGAAGTTTTTTCTGAAATGGAGTGGGTGGTGGGGCTAATTAATAGTTATAACAATCTTCGCCCCAGTCATTGTCAGGCACAGCCAACAGGTATGGCCTCTGGAGTCACAGGTGTGTCAGGCAAGCCTTGATTAATTAGTCCATTTTTGAAATTCATGGCTGTCAAGTCAGAGTCAGATCCTCAGGGGCTCATCCAGCCTCGGGCGGTTAAGCAGGCTAAGCCAGGACCCTTGGCTCCCACTGCTGCATTCCTTCTCTAGGCGGTGTAATGCTCCCTTTCAGACACATGTTCTCTATTTTTTTTTTTCTTTTGGTTACTTGAATTTGTTCTGAGTCCAAGTGGCAAAAGCAAAGCCAGACCCTGGTGTAGCAGCTCTGTGTCAACAGCTGCCTCTCTCCTCTCTGCTTGGAGCCTCAGAGGCAGGAAGCCAGGAGGAGCTGGGGCACTTTCTGAAAGCTTTGCCGCGCCCGACAGATCTCCAGGTGAGCCAGCGTTTGTCTCCTTGTCTTGTCGCAAGGATCTGGCTCCTGGACGCTGACACTGATGGCAGCTTGCTACAGGCCTTGGCTTTTCCCTAGCAAGGAAAAAAAGCCACTTACGTGCTGTGTCTTCTCCTGGCAGCAGGAATTCAGTTGTTAGAATTCTTTCAACTTTGTATCTGATTATTTATGACTTCCTTACCAAAGTGCTTACTTGTAACTAACATATGGATCAAGTTTTCACTTTACTTATCTCTTTGTTTTTTTGTTTGTTTTCTATAGGTGAATCTACCCCTGGCTGACTTCAGAATTTTTCTGGCTTTTAATTTTTTTCTTTTTAAAATAACTTGGACGGATAAAAGATGTGCCATGGCAGGATAGCACCAAAGAGCACCTCAGCATCTGTCGTGGCCTCCGTGGGACATGGAGTGTTCCTTCCGCTGGTGATCCTCAGCACCCTCCTTGGAGACGGGCTTGCCTCAGGTGAGTCCCGGCTTGCCTTCTGTCTGTAGGAGGGAAAAGACTCAATACCATTGTTTCTTTTCTCCTGAAAGCTGGAATAGGGGATTCTCTTGTCTGTCAGGCAGTTACAGGGAGAGCAGGGTGGGAGCTTTTGTGCTGTAGTGTAGCAGGGAGCCAGTCCTGTGGGTATGGCACCAAGGGGCCTAATGAGCCAGCCAGACAGAAAATGGGTATATAGGAACCTATATGTGATGCCTTTATCCCCCATTCTCCCAGCCGTAGTCATCAGGCACGACAGAGGTGTGAGATTCAGAGCGTGATGTGCTGGTAAGGGTGCAGGCTTTGGAATCAGACTGTCTGTGTTCAGAGTCCAGTCCTACTACTTGCTGTCTCTATGGCCCTGAGCAAGTCTCTTTACTTCTGTAAACTGTAAGCCTGCTTCTTCAGCTGCAGAATGGAAAAATAATAGTATCTACCTCATAGGGTGGTTGTGAAGATTGAATGAGATGACACACTAAGCACTTCCTGATTGTTAGCTCTTTATTGTTTGTTTCTTGTCTTTCTGTTCTTTTTCTCAGAATGAATACAGAGTTGAGGTATTGTAATTTAGTGAAGCAGGACCTGGTCACTAACACTACCAACTTTGTGGTCTTGGACAAGCCACTGAACCATTCTGTGAATCAGTTTCTGCATCTGTCAAATGAAGGGGTTGACCTGGATAACCTTTAAGGTCACATTTAGGTCCCTCAGTCTGTACTTTCATGATTCTAAGGACTTTCTGGTTAAAAATCGTGAGCTGGAAGAGCCCTAGGCGGGTCTACAAATGCAGTAGTGAGCCCTTTTGAGTTTGTATGGTCCTCGTTGCTTTCAGCAATGCTCTGAAGATACCTCTAGGTCTTCTCTTCATGTGGTCCTCTAGACCTGGTGTCCTTTTTAGAAAGGGCCTATTTGGGTATATACCATAGGCCTCTGGGTGATGCTACAGAACCTGCCTGTGTATCTGTAAGTACCTGTAGGGTCTTAACCCTACCAGAGTCTCTGGAGAGGGATCTCAGCTAGATTCTGGAAGGGGCTTGGAGGGAGGCTGGTGTGATATAGGTGTAGCTTTAAGAATCTCTAGATCAGTTGTATGTTTTTCATTTCCTTTCTGTCAACTCCCACCACTTACCTACCCAACACATACAGATTATGGTGCAATCTCATTTAATTTTATTTTTTTCTTTTGAATTCTTGGGAGAAACAGTTACTGGTTTTTTTGTTCCATCATGTTCTTCCTCACCACCCACATACAGATTTCCTCTTCTGCTGTCTCTCATTCACCTCATTCTCACACTTAACCCAAACCTTCCCCATAAGCCTAAGATTTCCTTAGCTGTGAGGAGCCCCTGGCACAACCAAGGGGGCCACTAATGGTTGGGACTATACAGTTGGGGCACCATGGTTATATGAGGTTTGAAAGAAAAAGAAGGCCAGCCTACACTAATGTGCAATAAAATGAAGCAAAGCCTGTATTCATAGGACCGCTCCAAAGCCAGAGGAAGCCTCTAGAAGTGGTGGTCTCAGAACCACAGGATGTGGAGACCCTCTCTTGTTTACCACTGTATCTCTAGAGCAGAAGTTGGCAAACTGTGGTCCACCTGCTGTCTGCTTTTCTGTGTCCTGTAAGCTAAAAATGGTTTTTATATTTTTAAATAGTTGGGGGTGAAAAAATCAAAGGAATAATATATTACGTAAAAATTACATGAAACTCACATTTTAGTATCCATAAATTAAGTTTTATTGGAACATAGCAATGGTTCATTCGTGTATATATTGTCTATGGCTGCTTTTGTGCGACAGTGACAGACCTGAGTAGTGCGACATAGACCATGTGGTCCCAAAGCCTAAAATATTTTGACTTTAAAATATTTTGCCCTTCATAGAAGAGGTTTGCCACGCTACCCCAGCCTAGGACAAATGGTGCTCACTAGTATGTGCGTGAATGGAATAACTGTCAGAGTAGGAAGGAAGGACTGATTAGCGCTAGGATGGACTTAAGAGGTTGTATACTTGTCCACGGTCTTGAGGCCAGGACTAGAACCTGGCCTGGTGCCTGGTGCACTGTCGTGACCGTCCTGTTCCAAGACTCCGCTGGAGAAGCCTGCCTTGTTACCTGACAGTATTAGGGTCTGCCTTCAGTGTCTGAAATCTTTAGAATCCTTAACTTCATTAAGCCATCCTCCTACCCCACCCTCCTTTCTGTGGGCTTCACCCCTGCCTTCTGCCATTTCCCAACTACCCACACCTTCCCAAGTTTCCATCCCAAGTCTGAAATCAATTATCAGGGACTGATGGTTCCAGACTGGCTGGATGAAGGGATTATTATTCTACAATGTGGAAAAATACATGTCTATAGTGTGGGCTCAGCCCGGGATGGGAAAGTTGGCTCTGTTGTTTTCTTTTCCTCCCCCATCTACAAAGAATCCTCCCTCCCCTGCCACCCCATCCCCCAAGTCTTTCTACTCCTCATAAAACGTGTGTACTTGCACAGAACAGGATGCAGGCAGGGAAGGGGTTTCACCGTTACTTAGATGCAGTGTACCAAGTTGCTGCCAATAGTTTTCTCTCTCTCTGGAGTGGCTTCTTGGGGAAGGAGGCACCCACTCCTTGGCCTAAAACCCAGAACACACCCGTATGGCCGTGCCTGCCATGAGCAGCATGCCCAAGCAACCAAGATTCTGAGGTACTCTGAAGTCAAGGCAAGGACATTCAGTTCAGGAAAGGCCCCCTCTTCCCTTTTCTGCAATTCTTACTCATAGCTGCCCCTGAACACCCACCCATTCCAGAGGCGTTTTAAAATGTGCTTGTAAAATACAGAGCCTTGTTATTTAGCGGGCCCTAGTAGACCCCGAATATGTGTGCACATGCACATTCATGACTGTGAGAACCCCACTAGACATAGGTAAGTGGGCATATTCTGAGGGGCAATTTGCCTGCCTAGTCTCTGGTCATAAATACCACAGTCACCCCTAGTCTTGCTCATAATTGCTCAGGTTAGAAGAAAAGAATCATGTATGAAGAGGCACTTGAGAATTCTGGAATCTATTGGGTTGTTGGAAAAGTCATGACACATTTTTGCAACGAAAAACAGAAAAAATACGTCGTGACTTTTCCGACAACCCAGTAATTATGTCATGTTCAGGGTTCAGTTTTCTACTCTGGTATCTCTTATCTGCAGCTTGGGATTTATTATTAACAGAAAGTATTAGAGAGGCATTGAGCCCAACTTTTCCCTTGGCCATTCCTTTAGCAGAGATGGGGGAAATTATTGAAAGTTTCATTTTTAGGAATGGCAAAAGGAAGCATATCTTATTCACACAAGGTCATACCATACAGGGGAAGACCAGAATTAAAAATAAGATCTATGTTCATACTACCCAACTTGCCTTTTGCGAGGGCTAGAGAGGAATTAGGGTCCCAACAGTGTAGGGGCCCCTCCCAGAGCGCCTTCCCTTTACCTATGGGCTTAAGAAAATGACTGTATGACCCTAGACAAATCACTTGACCCTCTTTGTCGCTTCCATAAAACAGAAACAAAATCCTTAAGGATGTTAGGTTGGTGTTGTATAGACTAATAAAAATGATTGGAAGGCACTTTATATATGAAACGTGCGGTGTAATTCCCAAATAGTAACAGAAGTTATGTGGCCTACTGTTGAATCACGCTGGGCAGGAGACTTTATGCAGATGACATCACCTACTGTCTTTAAAAAACAAAACTGAAGATGCTAAGTCACTTTTTGGGTTGGGGATAAGGTGTCAAATGACTAGTTAAGGAAGGATTGCTAACTTCTGGATCCCCTTTGTCTTCCAAGTTTGTATAGTTTGATAGTCTCAACCCAACTGGCTTGCTGACTCATAGAAAGCTTTTGATTTTCTTTCTATCCCTTTCCTGAGCATATTTACTGAGAAAACTCAGTATTTTTTTTTCCCTTTAAAAATCTGCCATGACACTTTAGGCCATGTTAAACATCACACAAGCACCTAAAGCAAATTTAAAATAGCAAGGCAAGCAGCCATGCTATGCAGAGTGAGAAAGCCAAGCACTTAGTGTTCGCTGAAGATGGAAAATATTGAGAACCAGGCTCTCACGGGATGATGTGGTTTTGGCCCTTAACATTGCTATGGCAAACTGATGTTGGCAGGTGGTCCTGGCTTACCTCACCCTTTCTGAGAGACCTGGAGTCAGAGATAATGTACACTGAACTGAAAGGAGAGGACAGGTAAGAAACTGATTAATATATTATGCATAGAGCATCATTTATTTGTCAGGCTCTGTGTTATTTTAAAGCTCAAGGAACGTGTTTGAGCTAGGTAATCACATAACCATTTTACAAATGAGAAACTGAGGCAGAGAGAGGTTAGATAACTTGCTCGGAGGCAGGCAATCGTAGGTGGTGACGCTGGCTGGGATTTGTGCCCAGTCTGTCTGACTGTTGTTCATGGTCTGCTGAGAACCACACTACCTGTGCCGAGTTGCAGGCTTCTCTGAGACCCATTTGTTGTGTTCCTCTACTGGAGTACTCAGATCAGCCTTCAGAGGATTATTTTGCTAAAGGAAGAAAGACACCACCTGTTTTCTCCCCTGGATAAAGGATGCAGGAGTCATCTCTGGGTTACCATTTTCCCTCTGTGGTTGTTTCTGTTCTTGTCTACAATGGCCCTTGGTTGTTTGGTTCGCAATTCAGGCACAAGGTTTGCCAAGGCAGTGCTATTCTTGGGAAGGAACAATAGGAACCACAGCAAATTGTATGCTAAATGAGGCTGTAGTTCCCAAAACATCCGCAGAGCATCTTCCTGTCAGCTGCAAACCCTGCTGACGAAGTGATGTAATCTCTCCATGGTGTAATTACCTGCAACTATAAAAAGACTTGAGGATTGTGGTAGGAGGCTGGATGGGTCATTATAGGGCCCATTGTTACACCCTGGTGTCATAAAAAGACATTGAGAAATTACCCTTTGCAGGCTAATTGTTGTGCCAT